AAACAGAAATTGTCGAGACTTGGACTCGGTGTTTTGTAGCCCAGGCTAGGGCTAAAAAATTGAAAGACAGAAAGGCAAGAGTAGAGAAAAATGAAATAACAGACATCTTCCTTGCTTTGACATGTTGTGAAACTATAATGAAAATTTCTGTTATGGCATACCCCAAAGAAGTGCAGGTTTTGACTTTCGTCGAAATTTTGGAAATTATAATAAGAAATTTACGACCTAAAAAGAAACGTGTCATAGCGGAAAAGAACCAAATTCCTGTCTATTAAACAGAAACAAGATGGATCGATTATAAATCTTCACAGATTAAGAGAAGGTAGTAGATTCTGTGAGCTTGAGAAACTGGGAACTTAAGTTTTGACTATAGAGGATGAATTGATTCAGTTACAGTTGATTGAAGATATGGCTGATATATCTCATAAATATAAGATATTAGGACAATTACAATTGAATAATTTTTCTCTAACTGCATGTGTGAAAGTTATAAAACAGCTGGAATTCATTAAAAAGTATAATTCTACTGAGGACAATGTTGAAACGCACAGTGTAAAAAAGGAAAACAAGAAATGCAAATACTATGGGCATGAAATTGTCAGACAAAAGTACCCCGCTTTTGGAAAAAAATTTCTATAATTGCAGAAGAAAAAATCATTTTCTGTCTGTATGAAAAGTTAAGAAAATAGACAATATAGAAAAAATAAAAAAGAAAGAATTGATGATGTCTTTTCAATACAAAGACCTAAGGTAAATAATTCTTTTGAAAAAATTAAATGGCATGACTTTTCCATGGAAATGTGGATATGGGGAGTGAAGTCACTCTAATTCAAAGAAATTTCTGGGAACAAATGGGTAAACAGAAATTGAGAAAAAGCCATCTGAAAGTGATACATTTCGATGAATCTTATAAAATCTTTGCGTTATTTTCAATAGAACATGTGACCGATTTAAAATTATTCCCATTACAGTAAAAAAAAAGTCATGTACTAGTGGGAAAAGATGTTCTAAATTGGATACGACGAAATTGATCAATTGTTTAAAATCAGAAAAAGTAAAAACGGGAGTGTTATAGGGGGTATAAAGTGAGTATATAATTAAAAGAAAATAGTACACCTCCTAATTCGAATCCCGTAAATGACCTATTTACTTTCTACCTCTAGTAGTTGCTAAATTAAAGAAAATGATAGAGGAGGGAATTTTAGGGCATGCCCCCCCCCCAGTCTCACCCATTGAACTTTTTTTGCGAAAATTAGATACAGACTTAAGAATATATGGTGATTTAAAAATAGACTTAAATCATAAAATATGCTCGGATTCGTTTCCTGTTCCCAATATCAAAACCGCTATCCCGAAAATAACGGGCATAAAATATTTTGCAAAAATAGATTTAAAATCGGCGTATAATCAAATATAAATTCATAATAAATTCAAGGAAATTACCACAATAAACATCCCCATAGGTTTATTGAGGTGAACAAGACAACAACACTTTTGGAGTGAAAACAGCTAGCGCTATTTTACAGAGAGCAATAGAAAATGTGTTAACTGACGAAATTAGTAACATGATTATTTATCAAGATGATATTTGCCTCGGTGCCACCACTCAAGACGAATTAAATCATAAAACAGAACATGTGTTAAACAAGTTAAAAAAAAAAATGTTGGGTTGACCATAAACAGAGACAAGTGTGAATTTGATTGCGATGTAATCTCGTATTTAGGGTACCAGATTCCAAAAGATGCTACTGCACAAGACCCAAAGTTAATAATGAAAATTCCCGATAAACCTACTAATAAAGAAAAAATTAGAATCCTTTTTAGGATTGCTTAATTTTTATAATAGATACCTACCAAAATACAGCGATTTAATAGAACCATTTGAACCGTCAAAAGAATAGTGAGTAAAAATGGAGCTTACCTTAACTATGGATGCAAGTGGGCGAGCTGTGTCATTTATTTTGTCGCAAGAAGGCCATCCAATAATGCACCTTTCAAGAAGATCCAACCAACGTTTTTATTCACTGGACCATGTGACCTCACTTGACCCAAAGAGTCTAGCTACTGCAGCGGTGAGCAAAAACTTGGAGATTTGAGTTAAAAGGAGATAACTGAGACATCTGGAAGAGGCATGGCACGGGGAACTAAAACAATCAACCCCGGTGGATGAAATAATGGGTTCGGTTCGAAATTCCAATCACCTGAAGAAAGGCGGAGCGTACAACGGCCGAAACGTCGTGAATATGGCAACAAAGACGAGGACAACAATCCGAGCAATGTAAATAGTGTAAATAGAAAAACGACTACAATAAAGTAAATATCAAGAGAGATATTTTCTAGAAATGGGGTCCCTAAAACATTCGCATCAGACAACGCGCCAGAATTTTGTGGTGAAGATTTATGTAATTGATTGGGGCGAATTGCTGCCTTCCCTTACAAAACACCACCATATTATTCACAATCTAATGGGATTGCAGAAAGAATTGCACATAAAGTAAAAATCGGATTGAAGGCATTGTCCCCAAGTAGAGATACTCTAGACAATTACTTACCATGGTTACTGCCTAGTTATAGGACTATTTGACATGCAGGTAGATTGTAAAGCCCATCTGCATTAATGGGAAGACAAATAAGATCTCCATTAACAATGCCTTACTCAATAAATGAAAAGATGTGGTATAAAAAGACAATGTAGCAAGTCCTGAGAAAGCTAATTTCATCATACAAAGGGGACATAATAGAGCCATTATATCAAAGAAAAGGAAAAACCTAATGACTCATTCTAACCAAATATGATCCGGAATCGAAGAGGTAGATGTTGTGGTGGAGGAGGATCTTGACTAAGAAGAAAGGATGAGTTCTTCAAATCAGGAAACGAAATGGAATTTATTGATGGTAGCGGGATTGACTCATATATGGAAGAAAATGAAATGAGATCAAGATCTCCATTAAAAAGAACGGGATATAAAACCTCAAGTGGGGAGAGGAGGAAAGGGCTTGGAGAAAAAGTCCAATAAAACGAAAGACATTAAACCTCTTCGGTTCAGAGACATGTAGTTGGATTGGCAAATAGGATTTTTCATATTTTCATATATTGGTTATAGAATAAATAAAGTGTAGAGTTAAAGAGTCAAGCGACAGGAAGTTGACTACTGATAACGTGTCGTAAAACAACACTATATAACATCGTCAAAACGATAAGTTGCGTTACATTTTTTTTGTTACTTTTGCATAGTGTTCTTGATTCATTAACGTAATTTTTATAACAATTTCACCATTTGTAATAATCATTGATTTTGTAAAGTAGCACGTGTCTTCTATTCATTATTGATTGTTAACACATGTCGAATAGTAGAAAGATATGCATATTAAAAAGAAAAAAAGGTATTTGAATTCTGCAACAGAAAGTGAAGTCGCTCAACCAAAGACTCACTGTTGATTGGTTGTTGAAAACATTTTTGACGAATGAAAATAAGTCTCTCCGCCGTGTGTGTATGCGGTATTATTAGCAGGGGTTAATGTTCTAACTATAATTCCCATTGGCAGTGAGTTAGTTTCTCACTAAGTGAATGAATATATATATATGGCTTTGACGCCTGATTGGCAATGTTGTCGTAAAAGACAAAGTTCATACCGGTACCAGTGAGTAGTCACTGTTCTGACTAATAGGAAGATGTGGATTTATGCCTTTTCCAAAGATAATAGTGCGAAGTGAACACCATCTACAACAACCAGAATTTAAACTCGGTTCACCGATTCCATATACCTTGCTGTTAACCGTTATGACATCTCTGCACCCCTACACCCGCTCATAAACGCACACATACGTCTACATATCAAATAGCCCACGTATATTCATGTATCTCGTTTAGTTATACATAAGGGTCATTTAAAAGTAATACCAATTCTAATATAACCTTAAAAGTGCTCATCAGAGTTTCATTTTTTTAATTTTTACTTTATCTTATTATATCTTATTTATATATAATGGGTTTTTAAAATCCAATCGAGGAAATTGTAGACTTATATCTCTATTCCTACCCCTAATCCTCTTTGAAAATGATTTCCCATCTAAACACACAGTAAGTAAAGATCTGTAATATAATTTCTGTTTTGGGAAGGGGAAAGTGCTGCAAATATTGTCAGGTTAGCGCATATTTATGGAAAGTGCGTATTTGATGTAAGCAGAGTAAGAATTTGAGCATCTTAGAGAGGAGAAAATGAACTGATTTACAAGTCCCACAGTGACAGGCCAGCTGTTGCTGTGAATGTGGATACAGCCAAACCGTCTGATGCTCTTATTACAACTGACAGACGCGATCTATGTTAGAGTCTGTACTTTTTTTATGCAGTCTCTTGGACATACAAAAATCCACGCAAAGTGGATTCTCAAAGCCCGAAACAGCAGAGGGTGGTTGCGATTTCAGAGCTACTCGATCCATCATATTGCGCTCTCAGATTCTCGTCTATTTGGACCCAGAAAGGAGAAACTGAAAGGACAATGGTTCTCCAATGAAGATGAACTGAAACAGGCAATTGGTATATGACTATAGAAGCAATGCATAAGCTTGATGGCGTGGGATATATATATATATATATATATATATATATATATATATATATATATATATATATATACACACAAGAGAGTGTCTGAAATATATATATATATATATATATATATATATATATATATATAGTGGTATATTGAAGTCAACACCAGAGGTGACCGTCTGTTTCATGCTAAATGCAATCGTTAGACCACTGAGGATTGCGTTTAGCATGGAACAAACGGTCGCCCTAGGTGTTGACTTTAATGACCACTTTTATATTTACATATGCTCTATCCCTAATATTGAGCACTTTAACCCATAAATATAGCATACCTTAAAAGTATATTTTATCATTACATATATATATATATATATATATATATATATATATATATATATATATATATGAAAGACAATTTAAAAAAAATATTTCATTTTTACTTAGACAGATTTGATCGACTGTCCGACGTCATCGGGAAAAAAATTGTATTTTATAAAAACAAATGACAGATAATCGGCGACTAATGTCAGAGTAAAGAAAAAAAAAATTTTAAATTACAAATTGTCGTGTATATTTACAGTTCCGTCAGAGTCTCATCCAACTTTACTCTACACCATATAAACATAGTCACATGGCTACCTGGTCCGAAGATCTCACTGAATCAGTCACCATGCAGTGATGATTCCTATGTCCGTTTGCTCTCTCTCTCTCTCTCACTATATATGTGTGTGTGTATCTATGTATGTGTGTGTGTGTGCGTGTGTATATTGTTTAAAAATTGGTACATTTATGGAAACTCGGAATGGGACACACTAAGGGAAGCTTTAGTGACATCAGCAAACGACATCATCCCAAAGGAGAATGGGCGAAGAAGAAAAAACGATTGGATCACAGATAAGATTCTTGACATGATGCAAAGGAGACAGAAAACAATGCCAAGAAATGGAATGGAATACAAAAACTGCACAATGCAATAAGGACCAAATGCAGGCAAACTAAAGAAGAATGGCTTCATGAAAAAATGTGCATAAATAGAGAGAATGGAGTATAACAGATAAAGGAAATATGCATAAAAGGCATGAGGGAACTAACAGGACAGAAGACATGCTCATCAACAGGCTGTATAAAATCCAAGGACGGAACACTCATATTAGGGAAAGAAAAAATTTTTCAGCACTGAAACGAATATATTGGAAAACTCTTCCACAACGAAATAGAACATCCGACAATACACAGAAATACCGGCAGGCTGGAAATACTAAAAACCGGAGTGGAAGCTGCAGTGTCCAAATTGAACAGAAACAGGGCGGTAGGGCCAGACGTAATTGTAATAGAGATGCTTGCAGCCTTAGATGATTTCGGTATAGACAAGATTACAGAAATAATAAATTAAATCTACAATAGTGGTTATATACAGGAAGATCTCAGCAGATCTATTTTCATAGCACTGCTTAAGAAACCAGACGCAGACGAATGTGAACTCCGCCGAACGATCAGCTTAATGAGCCACAAAACAAACTCATCATCCGAATTCTGATGAATAGAGTGTGCAGCAGAATCAGGTCAGAGATAGGACGAGAACAGTGCGGGTTCTTCAAAGACGCCGGAACGCATTATTTATGCTCAGAATATTATCATAAAGAGCAATGCAAATGCAGATGCAAATGAATGTGTACCTGTGTTTTATAGGCTACGCAAAAGCGTTTGACAAAGTACGCCACAAAAATCTGTTAGAGCTGATCAGCAACTTTATATTCGGGAAAGATATCAGAATAATAAAACATCTCTACTGGCAGCAAACCGTTTGCATACGGATAAAAAATGAGTTCAGCATATGTACAAAAATAGAAAGGGGTGTAAGGCAAGGATGTGTCTTCTCACTGGACTTATTCAATCTATACAACGAGGCAATTCTGAAAGAACTGGAAATCCAGAATTCATCATTGGCGACGACAATCTTGACAACGTAAGATATGCAGATGAAACAGTGCTGAGAGCAGACATGGCAAGGAAATTACAAAACCTGAAACATGAGGTAGCGAAGGAGAGCTAGAAGAAGGGACTAAGCATAAAGTACAAAAAGACAGAATGCATGGTCACCAGCAAAAAGATAAGTCAAAATACAATTTGCAGGTCGGTACAAGCAGGTACAAAAATTTAAATATCTGGGAAGTGTTCTGGCAGAGGATGGAAAGTGCGACACTGGGATCCGAAGACGTATTGAGGTGACCAAAGACGCATTCCAAAAAATAAGTAGAGTATTACGAGACAGGAAAGTTTCGTTGGAAACAAAGAAAAGATATCTGATACGTGATATCTGTCCTCCTGTATGGCAGCGAATGCTGGACACTCTCCTCAAAGATGAAGAAGAGACTCGAAGCACCAGAAGTTTAGTTCTTTCAGAACGATGCTAAGGATACCATGTACCGAACATTTGAGCAATGACAATCTTTTAGAGAGAATGGAAACAAAGAGGAAACTTATACCTAACATCAGGAAGGACACGTAATGAGAAAGGAGGTCTTGGAAAATCTGATACTCACAAGACGGATAAAGGAAAAGAGAGACAGGAGAAATCAACACGTGACATACTTAATGGGCTTCAGCAAATGGATGGTAGAACAGAGCCTGGGAGAAATAAGAAAAAGACAAAACATATTAAGAGCTACAAGCGACAGGATGGCGTGAAGTACTATGATCTCCTACATCCTGAAGGGACACGGCACATAAAAGAAGATATTTGTGGAGGAAGAGATTTCAATATTGAGGATAGAACGTTTGTAAACAGAGTGCACAACGAAATCAACACAGCATGGTGAATAATAGATTCCCGCCTTAACCGATTTTCAGACCACAAACGCACACACGCACACACACACACACACACACACACACACACACACACACACACATATATATATATATATATATATATATATGAAGATGGGTCATGTGAGCTAAAAGCTTAGATCAAGGGACCAGTTTAATAAAAAATATCACAATGTTGGACAATTTTTTGTCTTTTATTTTCATCCGAAATTAAACAACCATACGAAGTTTAGAACGACTGATGATTCAAACATAATAGACACTCATTGTCTGTTATATTTATATATATATATATATATATATATATATATATATATATATATATATATATATATATATATATATATATATTTATATGAAAATTTATTATATGAGTTAACCTGTAGAAAAGACAATATTTATAATATAAATGACAATAGGAAAACAATTTTCCTATTGTCATATATATATATATATATATATATATATATATATATATATATATATATATATATATATGTATATGTATATATATAAGATTTAAAGATCACATGCAGATCAAATATGGATCGGAATATGACAGTATGATAAAATAAAGAACAAATCTAACATTTTACTTTTATTAAAGCTTCATCATTTGTTTTTTTTTTCTGACGAAGCTTCAATAAACATGTTAGACTGATATACGTTTTCTATTTGTTCTTTATTTTACCATCTCTCTCTCTCTCTATATATATATATATATATATATATCTGTGGGTGTGTGTGTGTTTAATGGAATAATAGTTGATTCCTTCGTGAGACAGTGTGCCTTGTGAATGTGTGTAAATATGTAATAACTTGATTTCGTTCCATGATGCAAATATTATATTTAATAACAGATTTTAAAAAACATGGACTGGAGGTTTCAAATAAAAAAATATATTTTTTTGCCAAAAAAAAAATAACAATCAGTTTACAGGTAATTCATTAAAAAGGAGAGAAACTGATAGTTAAACATATCAGAAATGTATCCAAAGAAACCACGTGATGCGCGAATATGCGTCTGCATCTTTGCTTGTATGTGTGTCTGTATGCGTATGTGTGTGTATGTATGTGTGCCTTTAAAACACACAGATGCATAGGCATAGACAGATACAGGTGGACACATTAAGCCATACAACCGTCGCTCTCTTCAAACATACATTTGAAAATTATTTATACATACGTACATAATTATGCATGTCAGATATAATTTTGATTATAAACTGAAACATTTTATTCATTGCACATTTATATTTCTAAAAATTCAAAGTTCACTGGTCCCTCACCAAATCTGCGCGCTCGGTCGCATACCCCCGTATTTTAATTTCCTATATGAGTTTGTCAAGGTGAATTGTCTTACTCTCCCCGCATTTCCTCTGACAGCTGCTGGGTTGGTTAGCTTTGTAACTCATCAGTAGAGAGAGAGAGAGAGAGAGAGAGAGAGAGAGAGAGAGAGAGAGAGAGAGAGAAATCAAAAAGCCTTAGTAGCGTGCCGTAAGGGGGTTTTCCTTTTAACTATCTATACCCAGTTCTATAAAAAGAGAAATAGGGAAAGACAGGCAGAAAAAAAGAGCTAAAAATAAGAAAGACGGAAAGCGTCGGTAAAGGAATTAAATGTTCAAGCAAAGGGAAATATAGAGAAAATAAATATTAGAAAAATGCCTAAGGGTAAAAAAGTGAATAAAAACAAAACAGAATGTGACAGAAACAGATAGATAGTATGTCAAAGAGAGAGTGGGGAGAAGAAGAAGGGGAAGAAGAAGGGGAAGAAGAAGAAGAAGAAGAAGAAGAAGAAGAAGAAGAAGAAGAAGAAATGAAGAATAAAGTGTAAATGTCTCTGCTTGCCAGAAAAGAAACGGTGAAACGAAGAGGAGAGAGAGAAAGAGAGAGCGAGAAAAGAAACACGTTTATTTCACTCTCTATTTATAGCGAAAAAAGAAGAAAATAAAAGAGAGTAGTTAAATTTAATTGTGAGAGGGAAAGAGAAGAGTATATATTCTTGGAAAAAAGGAGAGTAAATGACAAATAAAAGAGTAGTCGCGAAAACAATGATGAGACGATGAGGAAGATGATAATAATAGAAATAAGCTTGTAGGATTCGCCCAAACTATTACAACTACGACTACTCACAACTACAACACCAGCATCGGAATCTGCTGGCCTCGGCCGCAGTAGCAGCAGCAGCAGCAAGAGTCATAAAAGCTTAGCAATGATGAAGATATAACGGTAAGCAGGATGTGGCGATACTAACATCGCTGATGCTTTTAATACCTCTATCAGATGCACACGATCACTACAAGAATTGCACGATGATACTAAACAACAGCAACAATTGTTGTTATAATTATGACAATAGAAATAACATCAGAATAACAAAAGACAATAATGAGAAGAACAAAAATTACAGGAATACGACAAATAACAAAAATTATAAATATCACCAAACATTTCTAAAACTAATTCTGATAAACTTTATTTTACTTTTGGAAATTGTACACGTTGGATCTAATTCTCATGTATTGTCAAAATGCCGACAAACATGCGAAACATACAGTAAGGTAAGAACACATTTCTTTATAGTAGTGATTATTCTTATTGTTATTGTTGTTGTTGGAATGATAATAATAATGATATACTCGTGGGTATCACTCACATACTCAAGAAAACTCTGTCAATGTATTTTGCTCAATTTACTGCCTTTTGAAAAATCTTCCTTTATCTTTGGTCTCAGGTAAAAAAAAAAGACTTGGTAAAAAGGATTCTATCAAACAACACTTCAGAGGAAGACTCGAATACTATTACTAAAATGATAATGATGTGTTTGCCAGTAACAAATTACTTAACCTGGACATTTTGTTTTTTCTTAAAATGTAATTTCGAAGACTTTGTAATTGTAATTTATTGGAAGCTTCATTTCTCGCACAAACTAATGAAATAATTTTTTGCACTGAATTCTGAAGTAAAAAGAGAAAATAGAGAAAAATATATTCGTTTTTATTTTTGTTAGTTCTTATTTGAATATTGTTAGGCTGATTTCCTTCATATTGTTTTTCTCTTAGTGGGTATTGTTTCTTTTTTTCTTTACAACATTTCGGCCGTGTATCCTCCGGCCTTCTTTGGGTGTCTGTTATTATCCAGAATGTTGACGAAGAAAGCGCACATTTCACTGAGTTTGGCACGGTTATGATACAAAAAATATATATATATTCATGCGAAAGACGATGAACATATAAAAATGTTGTGTCTTGTGTGTGTATGTGTGTGTGTGTGTGTGTGTGTGTGTGTGTGTGTGTGTGTGTGTTGAATAGTTATTTCGATATATGCATCTCTCTATCTCCGTATATCCATCTGTCCGTCTCTCTAGTGCAAATATGCAACCAAGGGTACGTACGTTTAGTTTGTGAAGAGTTTTTTGAGTCAAGACTCTGAGAATCGATTAAGAAGAGCGACAAAGCGATTTTCAAACCCTTCTCAAAGTCGGAGTGCAATCGGAACACGCACACACACGCGCACACTTCAGTGAAAACAAACAAACAAAAAAACCTACACCACCACAAAAAGAAACAAAAAACAAAACAAAAACAACACGTATGCGTGCGAATACTTTATGCACTCCCCACAAACAGACAATGCACGCGCATATACTACTGACAATCCCATGTATCGAGGGCACGCACGTGTTGCTTCGTTTTAAGAGGAAATGGATGAATTTCTTGTTTTAGGCAAATATTCTTTTTTTTTTTTTTTTTTTTCAATTCAGTAATTGATGTAAAAACTCATATTTTCGTACTGTCGTTGTTTGACAGTAAATAACGGTGACAATGAAAACAATCATGTCATTCGCTTGGGTAGCACTGACATAAAATGTCTCAGCTGACATTATCCAATATTAAACAATAATTACAAGCAGTCTTAATGTTTTTCTCCGCCAAACTCTGCCAGGTATTGCAAACTCCTCGCACACCACCTTCGCCACTTCTTACTAACGCTCTGTCTTGGCTGGCATTACGCGTTCTGATTCGGTCACGCGCGTGCGCAACTCGCAAATGTACTGCGATTGTTTCTTAAAGAAAAAAAAATATATCGATTTTATCTCCAGATCAAATTTGAAGCGTTAGGAATTTTGAATTTGGTTGAGTTTTTAAGTTCTGCATTAAACTTTGTCTTCTATCAAACATTTGGTGTCTTTATCACTACATAATGTTTTAATGCGTTTATAGCTTTGTAAATTCTTTCTATGTCTCAGACATATCAATAATGATTCTTCCTGTAAATCTGTTGAACAAATTTTTAAAAAATGACAGAAAAGTGGGGTTTTTTTACCTCCATTGTTAATAATTAAATCAATAAGCCAACAAGTTTTACGTGAAAATATCTTACAAAAAAATGATGAAAGCCACTCGCAAAACTAATAAAACAGATGTCAAAACCTGTTTGATCCATCCTAATTTAGGCTTTTTAGTTTGGATTGTTTCTCTGATTGATCGTATGTCATAATTCTATCTCCTTTAAATGTTTTAAATGCTAATGTTTTCTGAAAGATTTGGCCATAACAACTGTGTAAAATTTCAAATCATTTAAGAGTATATATTCATTTAATGATTATTTATTTACTAAGTGTACCTTAAATTTGACATAAGACAACAAATCTAGGACACTCGGTGAGGATTGAACTCATTAGTAATAATCTGCGGGAAGCTTGTTAACCATTATACTCTGATGGTATATCCATATGTCCATTTAATGATTTATCTTAGAAATATCTCTTTCGAGGTGACGTGTTGGAATTGTATGGAGAATAGCGCTTTATTTTGATTGACATTTAAGGAACGCTTTTTCACGGTGACTTTGACTAGAATTTGGCAGCATTAAGAAGAAAATTGGTGAAACGGTCTTTATCGAATAAATGGCATTTATGTCTAACTTAATTAAAAATACGATGAGGTTTCTCTCTTAAAGGCGACACCACGATCTTCTATGTATATGTTATTGTCTTATCCCTTCATTGTTTTAGTCTTCTAAGTTTGACTAAAGATGTACGGGTATTGCAATGGATATCGACACGGAAAATGAAATTGGCTAGTTGAGTTCATATTTTGGCCTCGTTTGTTGCC